TTTTTACTTCAGCCAACAAGCAGTTGTGCTGGTCTGACTGAAGCTGCCATCTGACTGTCTCTGAGCAGAAGTGAGCAGCAGGGCCAAATGTGCCTTAGACTGGTGCTGTGCTGAAGACCACAGCCGAGGTGGCACAGCAGCAGCAGGGATGTCTGGCCAGCTTCATCATTCCCCCTCTGCCATGTCCCTTTCCCCTTGTCATCCTCTCCACTGCAGCTTGGTTATGTCGCGCAGTGCCATGGGTGACTGTTGGGTGAACCGGCCCGGGGAACCGATCCAGCTGAAAGATAATCCACCAGAATAAACCCCAAAGCGACCCTTTTCAGTGCCATCCCTTCCTCAGTGGGGTCCACTGCATGGGTGGAGAGAAGCAGCCAGGGGACAGCTTGGTTCACCCTGCGCTGCTGCCAAAGAAGACACCTGCGATCCTCAGCCTTGTCACATGAAGCCACAGCCTGAATGTGGGCAGTTTCCTCACGCCTAAATTAACCGTATTCTCATATTTTGTTTCTCAGCACAATCTTCCATTCTGAAGGGAAGGGTGGTTATTTTTCTTGAAATTTCACATTGTTTTGTTAGCAAATAAACTCATGTTTGACACAACATCCGCCATGTCTGCCAGATCGGCAGGGTTTTCTTTCTTTTCTCTGGCTCTTTTCCTCCCTGTTTTTTTTTTTTTCCTTTCCAGTATTCTCTTAATTTAGACTGGACCCTCCTGTAACAGCAAGTCAGCGACTTGCTTTGGGCAAAACAATTTGTACACTAGATTTATTGTCTTCCTGCTTGGATGTCCATCTTGTAATGTCTTCCGCATCCAAGCCCATCCAAGTTTCTTTCTCTCTTTTTTCCTCTTTCCTTTGAGCTTAGTGTTTTGAAGGAAGTTGATCAAACTGAGCATTCTTGTGAATTTGAGCTTGGTTGCCAAGAATGTAAGTGATTCATCCCCCTGTAAGGAAAAGTGCTGGCAATAAAAGATTCCCCATTCCCCTTTTTTTACATGCAAAATACTGTTACTGCTCAAAACAAGCAAATCTTTTTACACAGAACAAAGTGTTTCACTATTAATTGCACAACAACTAGAATTCTTAAAATACCTTTAAGCTCTATTCTTAGAAGAAGGAAATATTACCAGCAGAGGCCTTGAAAGTGATGAGATATAAATTACAAGTGCTAATAAAGCACAATGAAATGATACCTTGCCTCATATCCTTCATATTGTTACCTTACCCACAGCAGGACCAAATTCCAACAGTTTTTCCTTTGCGCTTTGAGTTGCAGATATTTTAAGAACCCTTCAGGGAAATGCAAAATAATTTCAAGGGGGAAACGTGTTATTTACTTGAATGAGGACAGCGCAGGAGCTGAACGGTCTATTCAGTGAGGGGAGTTTAACATCCCGGTTTGTCCCCCATGGCAGTGCTGGTATGGCAGGACAGGACCAAATTCCAACAGTTTTTCCTTTGCGCTTTGAGTTGCAGATTTTTTAAGAACCCTTCAGGGAAATGCAAAATAATTTCAAGGGGGAAACGTGTTATTTACTTATGAGGACAGTGCTGGTATGGCAGGACAGGCACATGCCTCGGTGCCACTTAGCAAACTCCCTGGGGACCTGCCACGGCCACGTTCCCTGTGCACAGACACCCTGCCTACGCTGTGCCTGTCTCACTCCTCTTCTGCTATGGCGCTCCAGTGAGCGAAGATTTTCGCACGTCCATCAAGCAGAGCGCCTGGCGTTTTGCATGCTCGTCCCCAAGAAGTCAGAGAGATTGTTTATAGTTTGAAGTAAAAAAAAAGGTAGTTTGGGATTAAATATGCATTGTCACAGACGGGAAAGCAGGATTCATCTTTTCTGGGAGTCTTTCTTTAAAAACTATGGTATTAGTAAAAGACTGCATTGCCGTTTGTCATAGCTTTGGCTTCGCTCCTGGCCGGGCCAGGAAACAGTGTGCACAAAGTATAATTTCCCACATTTCAGCAGTGTCCCCACAGCTTTGCTTGTACTCTGTCAGTGACACACAGGTAGGACCAATAACCCTTTCACCTGACAAGGACCAGCTGCTTTCAAGTACCTTTTACCATCTATTAATAATCTCTGCCAGCTAGTCTCTGATAAAGCCACTCACAACCCTGATCCTGATGGCTGGGGTTGTGGGATTGCTGTCCCAGCAAGAAACCAGGACTTGTTCAAGCAGCCTGAAGAAACTGTAAAATCTCCCGCAGTTCAGCTGTCAGCATCCAGTGTGTGCAGAGCTAAAGGAGCTGTACAGCTCACACCCCGCAGAGAGCTGGAGGAGGATAAGCTTCAGTGCCCCCAGCACCAGGTGCACAGCCCATTCTCGGTTGCCTTCCACCACGGATGCCACCAAAAATTACCAACTTAAGAAAAGTGCTCAAAGAATGTGGGATGAAAAAGTGTTCATCCAACTCCAGGTATCTCTGAGTGCAAGACAGTGAGAACTTCTCCATGACTGACCAAAGATTTCATCTGCCATCTAAACATAAAGTTGTGAAAAATGTGTAATGTCTTTATATGCCAAATCATTTGCATCTGCTGGCCGTAGTTCAAAGAAGAACTACAAGCTGTGTTAACACGAATACACAAATCTTCCCCCTTCATCTGCAGCCCAAGATGGAGGAACACTCATGAATCTCTTGTTCTGACAAGTCTTCATGGTTTCTAATCAGAAACCAATTAATAACTTCTACAGTGTATCATTTCATCTTTGGTCTCTGCTAAACTCTTTTCTGAATCTACTTCATGTTTGATGGTTGAAGCACGTTTTATCAGTAGCTCCGTATTTTTCTGGGTGAAGCCAGACCCAAATCTGAAACAAGTGATCAGCAGCCGGACTGCTGTACTTCAACGGCATTTTAAGATCTGGCCCGTACATCAGAATTTGTACGTAAGAATTTAGCAATAGCTGTGCCCTGTGTTCTAAATATTTCACTTATATATTTTCAAAACATTGTGCTTAGCTAATCATTCATCTCTAACAGGCAGGGAATCTATCTGTACCTCTAGTAATAGAATTTTTGCATTTTTGTATTTGAGAGTTTCACCTCCTTTCATATAAGGCATCTCTTTTTCTAGTATTTGTTTCATTGAAAAATCTGAGATCTCTTTTTAAAGGTAACATTAAGTGATAATGGTCCTTTAAAAATCTGAACACCTGCATTAAATTGGTGTATCAGCTGGTAATTATTATGCCTTTGCATTCCTCAAGCCCAAATAAAACACCAGAGCATATTTTATCTTGCTTCATATTGAACAAATCTAATCTAAGAGGTGTAGAAGAGCCACTTCTCTTGCTCTTCTATGCCCTGAAGTTTTATAGAAATGAATCTGAATTCTTAGCTTTGTAACAGGGGTAACAAAGCATAAAGCTGACTGTGAAGTAGTGTCAATCTAAGGTCTTTTTTTTTTCCAATCCACTTCTTTTTAAATAGTTTCTTTCTTTCCTTCCCCTTTTTTCATTTGCAGGAATTTCCCCCCAGCGATTCTGTGAGGCACTTACTTATTTTTTGGAATGCTGCACTTTCTTATACATCTTGTGAACACAAAAAAAGAGCACTGCTCACAGCAATCTGAAATGTCACAGTCTGTCATGCTGTCACATAAAATGTCACATCGTACAGCTTGTCATTTGAAAGCACCAGGTTATGGGCAGATGTCATCTCCTGACTCCAGTTGAACCACTGCAAGAGGATGCCCTTTGTCACCATCCCCTCTGGCCCACTGATGTGCCAGAAGAGCTATTTGTGTGAACCCTTCCTCACCCATTCCAGGCAAGAGCAACAAGATTATGGTAAACAATTTAAGTATGAAGTCTTTGCTAACCTGTTTCATTGTATTAAGTCTGTGGAGAGCTCATCATGACCAGCTCTGCCAAGAACGCTGACAGGGAAGGAACAGCAAGAAATGTAAAAGCAGTGACTTCTTCCTGCTAGCACCCTGCCTGCAGCATGCACCTCTGTCCATGCCCTTATGATCGCTCATCTATAACCCCAACGTGCCTCCATTGCTCTGCAGCAAGACTTCATAGCTTTGCAACAACACGTCCTTTAAATTTCCCCGGCATCTTTTGCCATGTGCAAAACGTAATACAATACAACTGATAACAACAGTCAGCAGTACATACAGAGATTATTCTTTTGTACTCAAAGGAATAGGCGTCCACAAATTTTCTATCAACTTTTCCTTCAAAGCTGTTGCGATCTGCGGAGCCAAAGTGATTCTGCCTTACATTATGCCTACAGGACATGCTGTTTTACTGGCACTATTCCTGCCACTATCGTTAAGATTATGTCAGTGTTTCCACTAAGCACTGTGTCTCTGAGGAGCTTATGGTAACCAAGCTGTCAGAATTTGTTCTGGGCTCAAACTTAACATATTGTAAATTTCCAGTGATGGACATTTCCTTTCTCTAAAAAACATCGAGTTAATTGATATTGCAATACATACAACATAGCATTCAGAAAAGAATTTGGTTTTATATTGCACTATTCAAAATGTTGCAGGTAATTTATCGCAGCCAGAACATTTTGGTCATAAGTGGCCACTCAGGAAAAAAAAACAACCCACAAACAAAAAAAGAAAAAGTTACAGAGTTGTGTTTTCTGACCTGCATGTTGAGCCACAAAAGATATTTCTGCAATGTAGCTGGGCTGTCTCGGGGTGCTGAGGCTTTGCTTTGTGCTTGACAAGGCTTGCCACATGGAACTACTTATTTTGGAGGAAAGTTTTGCTCGACTCTTTATGATGATGCTTCTGGAGGCAGGACACATGTAATGGCTTACATGACATCAACCTTTGTTATGACGGATATGGCAGTGGTCTCATAAACCTTCTGCGGGGCGCTCTGAGCCCCAGAATAAAACCAAATAAAACGTGACTCTTGCTGTGGCTGACAAGAGAGGATTTATTTATCAACAGCTCCGTTGTCATTAAAGAATCGGTGTGAAATGCCACAGACTCGGGGAGATTCTTTGTGTTAAGACCCATCATCCTGGGGAAGAAAACAGGGAAGCAAATATCTGTTCTGGGTGTGCAGGATCCATCTTTATCCATCTACTACTTTCAATAGGAACTCTGTGTGCCACAGACTGGAAACTTCTAGAGATGTATGGCAAGCTGAAGATCAGCATAGCCAGGGAGCTGCACATAAAATATACATACTTCAGTATACTCAGTCAGATCTCTTGGAATTTTCTGCTTTAGGAGAAAAAGCTTGAGTCTTTTAGTATTATTTTTCCACGGGAAGGGAAAAGAACAGATATTTGGCAGAAGATACTGGAATAACCATCAACCTAATCTGTTAACGCTTATTCATGGAAATGTTCCCACCAAAGCGTGAGCAGGACTGTGTCTATCCAAAGGAGATACTCACCCCCTTCTCAGACTTTTGTGTCGTGTTCAAGGACGGGATCACATTAATCCAGGAAGCAGCCAGGGAAGGGATTTGTCTGCACAGGAAACATAGAAGACAATATTAAGGACACCTCTTCCAGACAGCGATGTTGCGAGGGGACACACTGGCTTTGCCACACGGGGCGTTTTGAGGATACTGCTGTTGCCCTCAGAGCAGCTGGCGCAGGGGCTGCAGGTCAGGCAGCCTCCGTGTTCCCAGGGCAAACTGGTGGCAGCAACACCCACAACTGGGAAAAGCACCAACGATGAAAGTAACCTTTACACCGGGTTTCCCACCGCTGCTGTCAGTAGTGGAGCTGCCCCAGTGAAGGAAAACCAGGAAACATAGCTACAAGGGAGCGTAGGCAGGGGCCCAGGCTGCCGACCTAACTATTTGCAGTGAATTACAGGCTGACAAGCTTCTGATGTTGGTTGTCCTCTCTATAATACACATCTTGTACACAATTTTTAAAATTTCCACTCATTGCAGTGACAACGCCTTTATTCCTTCCTTACAGTGTACGAACATTTCTGTACTGAGGTAATTTAATACAAACAGTAGGGGGGAAATCAAGAATCCATGGTAGAGTATTACCCAAGTTATAAAAGCAGTTTATTACTCTATTGTGTGTCTAAAATTTCAGGAACATTGTAGCAGATGTATTTTATAGAGAAATGACAACACATTTTAATGAAATCCAGGTTTAGATTCTGGCAACATTTCTTCCTTAATTTTATATTTTGTAACCGAGTCCACTACCCCACCAGGAAAAATCAATAGAATATTTAGTACATCTCACCATCACACCTTTACATGTATTTGTATAGAGAAGAAAATAACTCTACGTGACAGACCAGGACTTACATTTTCTTTACTTGAAACTGAATTCTGTCTTCCTCTGCTGACAATTACAAGCTCCAGTTTGTTCTGATCTCTTCCAGGTGAAGTTCAAGCAGTCATTACAAATTTTGCTGGACTTCTTTTGCATAACACATAACCTGTTGTTGATTTAGTTTGCAAACAGTTTTGCACTGGGTCGGCCTGAAGTGCTGTGGAGCTGCCCTCCAGCTCCCTCCGCTCACCGCTCAGGGGATGCGGGCAGGGTCCCATCCTGCGTCCCTTATTGGTGCCCACTGCGGGCAGCAGCGCCCTAAGGGAAAAAAGAAAGAGCCCCACTGTTCCCAGTTCCCGTCCCCAGGCCTGTCGCAGAGCACAGGAGCACTGTGGACGTCTTTCTGAATCCCTTGCGCACCCAGATGCATCAGATACGATTTACCTGCCCAGTATTAGTTTGTCTCTGCTGACTACAGATAAACCACAGTTTTTACAAGAGATTATAGTTCAGTCAAATATATTTGCTTTATGAGACCTTTTCGGACACATCTCTGGCAAATTGTGTTTCTTTCTCAAAAGTAGGCAGATGCTGCAGCTTTTCAGACAAACTGCTACAGGTATTTAAAATGAAAAAAAAATAATAGAAATGTGAGTGGTAACACTCATCTGCCTGAAATATTATTCTTGGAAACATTTTTTCTGAAACGGAAAAAAAAGCATCCTGAGGATGCTCTTTCAGGAAACACCTGATGTGGAAAAGTTCCATCCGAATGGCAGAATTATAACATTTGGCGACATCTATAACAAACAGCTATAAACTGTTGAGGGTCTTACACTGGCAAGTATGAGGCAGCTTGTTTACAAGGCACACCAGTGGCTCTGCCTTGCATACGACGCCTGGGTCCTGGAGCATGTGCGAGGCTGCACAAACTGACCGCTGCTACTGTCACGTTAATAGTTAAATAACGATTTTGCAATATTGTATAATAATAAATCATCTTCAAAGCGTTTTTATCAACTTGTGGTCCTTCTGATAGAGAAAGAAGAAAACATATGTAATCTATACACAAGCATAGATTCCTCCCAGGCAGTCAGGTCTCGGTGCTCCTGAATTAGGATACTGCCTCAGGGTCTCCACATTCTTTACCTATACAGCAACAGGGTCATTTTATACATGGCAAACTAACAGCCCACTCCTGCTAGTCTTTACCACACTGACTCATTCACCTGCTGGCTCACGTGCAAGTTGAATAGGATCACAGAGGCCCAACAGTTATGGTGCATTTTGTGCGCCCAAATCATCTCAATTCAAAACAGGGCAATGAGCAAGAACTGAAGCTTAAATGAAAACAGTGTAACTTTCTAGCAGCACTACAGGGTTCTTGAAATCTACACTAACTTTGGTACAAAATACAGGAAATTAAAGCACTGTAATGAAATGTACTGCACATGAAGCATTCGGAACATAAAACCGATCTGTGATGTTACCATGACACAAAATGTAGGAAATACCAGCAATCATATTTGCAAAGAAAATGGGACAGTGTTCTTATACCACCAGTTAAAGCTTGTTCGCAGTAGCAGCTCCATCCAATTTGAGACTTTGCTCACTAGGCTGATTGTAAAGATGTTTGAAAGATGATTGTGCTGTTGCCAGAACAGGGTAGCTGAACCTTCCACAATCAATATAAAGACCGAGTCCTCTATCAAACAAGCTTTACTGGATACACATACAACCATGCACAATTAACAAGCGGTATGTAGTCCTGGTTAGGAAGAACTCACAAATGCAGCCAGTAAGCCAGAAGTCCTGGGAGCCCTGGGAACCTGAAAACAGCCTGCTGCAAAGAGCGAGGCTAATTCAGCTTCTTTGAACTGAGATTCAATACACTCACGGGTCTGAAATGTTCAGAGTTCCTTGTTCCGGTCATCTGTTACAGTTTTTCTAGTTCCTTGGAGGTTTACCTCAATGGTTGATATCCCAGGCCCAGTTGTGCCATTGCTTTCTCTATCTTCCTGAGGACACTTTTCATTTACTATCATCTTCTCTGTTCTGCCTAGAAAGTTTTAAGTCACAGAATATCAACTGCTCCTTTTGTTTTTCCCCTTTCAATCACAATTTACTTACGGTAAGTGTTTCATAGGCCAACAGGCTACTTGACCCACAATGCTCTTCTCTAAATGGCCATGGCAGCTTTGCCCAGTCCCATATCCTAATGGCACCGACACGCCATCTCATTCATACCTTTCCTAGATGCTCCAATAAACAATTAAAAGTTCACTATTTAAATAACCACTTAAATAGGAAAGTGTGTTAACGATACTTAGAGGCAATTCACACTCTGAGACCACTTATCTCAGTTCTCTATGGGCATTCATATCTGAAAGTGTTTGATTCATATTTTGGGTATCTCCTTTATAACAATAAAGGCTAGAGACTTGCTTGTATATAGAGTGTTATTCTGCCTCACTACCTCAGCAAGGAGCTTTCATTTCCTCTATAGCATACACTGTATACACATGTTCGCACATATATACACTGTTTGCACAGAACACAGCGTCCCTGACAATTAGAGGGGACCCCTCACTCCCCAAAGCCTAAGAAAATGTGAAGGGAGGGTGAAGCCATCAACCGTCTCACTGCCGCTGAAGGGACAGACCCCATGCCATTCCTATTCTCTCCCTCCGTCTCCCAGCTGCTCCTGGGCGCACGCTTCCACCACTCATCTTGCACCAGGTCTAGCAATCATGGAACCAGTTTAGAAAGTGTCAGATGCAACAAACTGGCAGAAAACCAGCCCCCAACTGGATAGTTTTATCTTGAATTAGGGAATTTAACCTGTTCTTGGAAGCATCTAGTGAGGGCCGCACCTGGCAGAAGGGAGGGAAAAAACCCTCACATGAGAGTAAGGACAGGCAGCGGGGAGCGAAATCCCCGCTCCTTTGGTGAGAGCGAGCTGTTAGACTAACTCAGGTACACATGGGACCTCAGCCTAAACTGGTGGGAATCCAGTTTACCATGTTATGCCTCGTTTAACCAAACAGCACCGTCTCCAGTAAAACCTGCATCCCGCAGTCCAGGTTACAGATCACGTAATTGCATTTTCATTTCCAAATAATTGCCAACTTTCTCTTCCAAATATGTAACATAAGAATCCAAGATTTTAGACTGAAAATAAATTGTGATTGTTAAGACAGTTCATGAATAATAAATTAAGTCATGCTTGAATTTACTTACAACTCAAGCACACTAGGTCATTTTTCACATAAATAAAGCACTCAAAAAGTTCTAGCAGAAGGAACTACTTAGATTCATAATAGAACTGTGCTTTATTTGTTACAGCTGTTCCTTTATGCTACCTGATCCTAGACATAAATTCCTTTGTTTTGGCGGTTCACATACTGAGCCCAAAGTACGTATTATCAGGGCAGATATAATTAATTTTAGCAGTGTAATAAACTGTATCGTTGCCTGGGAAATCGAATCCTGCAAATGGTGGCAAGGCTGAGTCATTCCCTTTGGTAATAAAATGATGATATGCTATAACTTAATGTAGGTTAAAAACTGTACAATACTATCCAGGCTACCACAAAAGGAAGTCAATAAAAGCTGAGGGTGAACTCTAATAGGTTGTTGGTTCTCTTGTCTTGTATTAGGTGTGCCATAAATCAACATTTTAAACCAAACGCTGTTGGTTATATTAGAGGTGAACTGCAAGAGCTTTTTCTCTTTTTTACAGTATGGACTCATAACCCTTTTTCTTCTCTGTGATGCACACAGAAACCTCATAGGTGAATATATTTTTATATTTTTTTCTCCCCTGCATATTTTTTTAATAAATAATACATTGGAAACATGTATCTACAATGTTCGGAAACGTGAAATCAAAACCACCACATCACCCTTAGAGCACAGGTATTTCAACAGTTATAACACCGTAACAAGCATATGCTTTTTTCATGGTGCAGAATTTATTTATTTTTCTCTGATACTAGACTTATACTTGGGAAAGCAGCCCAACACAGATGTAAATTCACCCTGAATGTCCTTACTCAGAGAAGTACATTGCAGAATGGGGACCCTGAGACACAGCTTCAGTGGCACATAGTTCTGTGCTGTACTCTACTGTAAGCATCAACAGAAAATTACATGAGCAGTACAGGAACACTATAATAATATAGCATCAAATATAGCTTAATGGGATGGTTAAAGGGACGGGAGCATCTGTCACATGAGGACAGGCTGGGAGAGCTGGGACTGTTCAGCTTTGGGAGAGATGGCTCAGGGGGACCCTATCACTGTGTATCTGACAGGAGGGAGTAAAGAAGACAGAGCCAGGCTTCACAGCAGTGCCCGGTGACAGGAGAAGAGGCAATGGGCATGTAGTGACATACCAGAAATTTAATTTAAATATAAGAAGAAAAATAAACCAACTTTTTTTTTTTTTTTTTTTTTTTAACTGTGAGGGTGACTCAGCACTGGAGCAGGTTGCCCAGAGGTCTCCATCCTTGGACATACTCAAAACCCACCCAGACCTGGCCCTGAGCAACTGGCCCTTGCTGACCCCGCTTTGAGCAGGGGTTTGGACTAGGCAGTCTCCTTCAGAGCTCCCTTCCAACCTCAGCAATTCTGTGAGTCTCCGATTTTGCACCTGCAAGCACATACATTTCTGCATCATTTTACAGAAGAATTGTTTTGTTTTACTCTTGAAACGAGAAATAAAATCACAGCACTTGAGGAAAAAATGTGTGAATTCTGTGAAAACAAACGAACAGCCACTGCGGGGGGCGCGCATAGCTGCAGCCCGCGGCGGTGGGGCAGCCCGCGACTGCGTCTCCTCTGCTCCTTAAAACCACCCCTCCGCCCTGCGGCCGCTTGCCGAGCCCCACTCCCGGGCTCCAGCCAGCGGTGCCCCACGGGGGCCACCCCCGCCGGGGCCCCCC